CCCCCAATCTCGACTTTCGCCTCTCTGAGCCTGGGACCCCAGTCCGAGCACTGGTCAGCCTGCCTTCAGGCAGAGATCGCCTCCGGATGGCGCCACGCCGGGACAGCCGAAGAAATGAAAGTGGAAGCAAAGCTGGGCGGTGTGCGCGGCTGGGGCGCGTGGGGCGCGGCGCTCACTCACGGGGTCTGCCTCGGTGGGTGAACGAAGTCCTCGTTTGGTCACGGGTCACATCTCCAGGGCGCTGGGTCGCCTGCTTTTGCCGGTCGTCCTGCTCTGAGGGTTCTCTCGCCTGCCCGCCTGCCTGCCCTGCCGGGCCGCGGTGGCCCTCCCGCCCCCAGAGCGACGCCAGCTCCGCCCCCGCCCTCCGGGGCTCCGCCACGCTGCGGCCAGAGGGCGGGGAGGGGGCGGGGAATGGGGACCCCCCTCCCCCTGGGGATCCCCCTCCCTCCCAACCAATGCGCAGACACACTCACTGTCGCCTCTCGGGAAAGTCTATATTGTGCTCCTAACTTTCCCGTTGGGCAAAGGACTAGCTGGTCCTTTCAGTGTCTGCTTGGGCTTCTACCAAGGAGGCAGCCTCAGCTTTCTCAACTGTGAAATGGGGACAAGCTTAGCTTCTGTCTGGGGCAGAAACAAAAGAACTGCTAGATAATGGTGGTTTTCTTGCCCTCCCAAAATCACGTGTGTCTCACTTGTGCCCGAGCTCAATAAGAGATCAGGCCTGCCTATATACTTCCATACCCTTAGCTCCTGGCATAGTGCCTGGCACATAGAAGGTACTTAATACCCATTTGCTGAATGAATGAATGAATGAATGAGTCACTCACTCCAGCACTGAAAGGACTAGCCCTGAGGAGTGGTCAAACCACAGACTTTCACCTCCCCCGACAGGCTGAGGTCCTTGCTCGGACTGGGCTGATTCTCCTCATTGCTCACCTGAAGTCACCCCATTTCCCACTGACAGACATTTGTTCCAGCTGTTCCCATTTTGGAATAGCTTCTTTCCCTCCTTCCTTCCAACCAAATCCAAACCCTTCAAGACCTGATCCACTCTCCTTACTTTTCTACTTGGGCTCCTCTCCTAAGGGCAGACAGATATCCCACACCAGCACCCAATGCACACTGTGGGGCCTGGGGCCAGGGACCAGGTGGTTAGATCTGTCCTGAGAAGGGAGGCAAGTTTGGCCCTTCTAGGGTAGGAGGGCCAAGTCAGCCGGATGGGCTGCGGAAGTCACCCTGGAGGGGTACAGGAGGTGAGCAGGCATGAGTAAGGGAGAGCTAGAGGCTGCAGGAGGGCATTGACTCTGGCACAGATGCTCACTGGGCTCCCCTTGTGTCTGGATCTTCTGTTTGCTCGATGGCACAAGAACACACTGAAATCTGAAGGATTCTTTCGTTGAGCACTTGTTTTTGCCCCAGTCTAAAGTTCTCCCCCCCCGCCCCCCCCCGTATGGGTCTTAACTCTGCTTCAGATCCCTTATAAACATTTGTGTGCTCTAGTATATGCGGAAGGAATTCAACCCTAGTCTTTCATTTGTTTGCTATCAATCAGTGTCCTGTATTAGGCGTGACTCTGCACTGAGAGCAGGGTGGCAGATGATGAAGCGGCCCCAGTCCCTGACCTCAGTTGACGACAGGTCAACAGGGGGGACAACACACACAGACAACACAAGGTCAGAGCTCAGTCACCCAGAAGTGAGAACACAGTTGCGGATTGATGGGGAACACTTTGTGAGAGTGGGGTTAATTGTAGGAAACATGTGGAACACCCAAACTGGGCACTTTGAGGAGAGTTTTAAAGAAGGCACTATTTAGAAGCGTAGTCAGGCTGCAGAGCAACCACACAGATAGCGTATTATCAAAGGGCTAGGAAAAGCAGCCCTTCAATGTCTACCCTAGGCTGCAGCTGTCACCCCTAGCTGCAGGGGTGCTGAGAGGGAGTGGTCAAAGTGGGAGCTATGAGGAGGGGGCTACTGAATGAAACCGTGGCCTGACCTTGAGGGGCACACCTAGCCCACAGCAATCGTTCTGCGCAGGACTTGGGGTCTAAAGGGGCCTCTCTCTCCTCCCTCCCTCTGATCTCTGGCCAGGTTTCCCCATTGGCAGACCCCTACTCTTGAAGCCAAGGACAGGGAACCTGTTGATGAAACACACAGAGGTTGAGCTCCTGAGGCCTAGAGCTGGTGGAGGAGGGTGGAGAGTGCATCTGGGGGGACAACAGAACGTACTTGGCATGTGGGCTCAGGGACTTTGGCTTACAGAGGAAATAAAAACTGCTTGTGCTTTCCTTATCATTCAGTTCTAAATATTTCATAATTTCATTGTCATTTCCTCTTTAACCCATGGATGATTTAGAAGTGTGTTTTTTAGTTTCTCAGCCTATGGGAGGTTTATGTTTTTCTTGTTGACTTCTAATTATATAGCATTGTGGTTGGAGATCATGGTCTGTAAGATTCTTTGGAATGTGATGTGACTCCCTCTGTGGCTTTGTACATGGTCATTTGCTGTACCTCGAGCTGGGTTTTATAGGATGGGCAGGAGTTTGCCTGGGAAGAGTGAACAGCACAGAATCTTACATTGTGGGAAATATAGCTGATCCACTTGGAAGGAACTTCAGAAGTTCCCAGCTCACCCAAGGAGCCCTGGGTGTCTCCCACAATACCAGCCGACAGATTGAAGGGTTGGGAGAAGCCAGAGATAGCCCAGATCCCTTAAACACCTATAGCCTCTTCCTGTGGCTCTCAGTCTGGGCTAGACAGACTGTGTTCCAGGAGGCTCTGCTGGGGCTGTGAAGACCTAGGAGAACATGGTCCTCCTGGCTTTACCACATATTAGCTGTGTGACCTTGACTACCTCTGTCTTTTTTGATGGCACACTGTAACCCGACAGCACTGCACACCTACACAGGACAGACACTGTTCCCTCCCACTGTGTCCTGACTATGATAAATGGCTCATATACAGCCCTGTCTCTGAAGCTTGGAGGGAGCCATTGAGGACTTAGTTGAGGTCGGACCCTTCTCCACTGCACAGTCTGGGAACACGACACCTTGATGGGAGCTCCAAGTGCAGTAGGGTGGTATCCAGACCTGGGCTCCTGCCTTGCTGTGTATTTCTGGGAAAGCTTCTGCCCCTCTTTGGGCCTCAACTTTCCCCATCTGCATCACAAAGCATCTTCCAGCCATATCATTGCAAGCGCCTATCAGGACCAGCTTCCTGCTCTGGCCCCTGTGGGCCTGTACCCAGTGACTCCACTGATATAGAGTAGCCTCTTCCAGAGTCTCCCCAGCCCTTCCTATGCCAAGCAAGTTTCCACATTCCCATACTCCTCTCAGAATGAGCTACAGCACCCCCAGCTCATCCCACCAGGCTTCTGGAAACTCCTGTAGCCTGATGAGGCCCTCCTTCTCCTAAAACTCCCAAGAAAAAGTTTCTAGTTTAGCTTCTGCCCCTTCCTGGCCAGAAGGCAGTGTCCTTCATCCTGGCACATTGATGAAAAGGCACAGGATACTCTTACTGCAGTAAAAGGAATTGAGGTTAGACTTCCTTTAGTTTGAAAAAGACAAGGTTGAAAAGGACGTACATTAAACTTTTGTGTGGTGTGGCCTTGGACAAGACATTTATTTCCTCTGAGTCTATTTCCCCATCTGTAAAACAGAAACAACAACAACAACAATACATGCCCCACAGAAGAGCTGTGAGGATCAGATGTGATAGTCCTTGTAAACAGTAGAAGGCTGTGGCCAGTATTTTTTTGGGTGCTGCCCCACAAACCAGCTTTTGAGACTTGTAATAACTTGCATGGACTTCAAAGGCATTATGTTCAGTGAAAAAGAATTCAATCTTAAAAGGTGACATACTATATGATTCCATTACATATGTTCTCATAATGACAAAATTGTAGTAACGGAGAGCAGATCAGTGGTTGCCAGGAGTTAGGGTTGAGGAGGACGGTTTGATTATATAACACAAGGGACTTTCTCTGGGTGACAGTTCCGTATCCTGATTATGGTTCTACAAACAAACCTACACATGTAATAAAATATCATAGGACTATAAGCAAAAGGAAAAAATAAAAGTGACTGTATATAAAAACTGGTAAAATCCAAATAAAGTCTGTAATTTGAATATTATTGTGCTACTGTCAATTTCCTGATTTTAATAATTATACCATAGTTATGTAGGATGTTACCGCTGGGAGAAGCTGCATGAAGGGTACATGGGAACTGTCTGTATTATTTCTGAAACTTCTATGTGAGCCTAAAACAATTTAAAAATAAATTTTGAAAACTTTTTATGTTGGATGATAGGGAATTGGGGTTCATTATACTATTGGTTCCGCATTTGTATATGTTTGAAAATTTCAAAAACAGAAAGTTTAAAAAACGAGACACACGAAAGGCAAGGCCTCTCTTATAGCAACTTTGTTTCAGTATCTCTGGGGTAGGTGCAGGAAGCTGTTTAGCAAGGTCCCCAGTGATATTTATGCAGAAGACTAAGGTTTGGAATCTCTGCTGTAGGCGGAATGTTTGTGTCCCCCGAAATTCATATGGTGAAACTTAATGTCCAATGTGATGGTGTTTGGAGGTGGGGCCTTTGGGAAGTGATGGGGTCATGATGGTAGGAGCCCTCGTGGTGGGACTAGCGCTCTTATAAAAGAAACCACGGAGAGCTCCTCTCCCTCTCTACCATGTGAGGGCACAGGGAGAATGGCCATCTATGAGCCAGGAAGCAGATCTTCACCAGACACTGGCTCTTTAGGTGCCTTGCTCTTGGATTTCCCAGCCTCCAGAACTGTGAGCAAGAAACTTCTACTGTTTATAAGCCACCCTAGCTATGATATTCAGTTATAGCAACTTGAATAGACTAAGAAAACTTCTTCCTGGTCCCCGTATTATCTGTGGGATGAAGCAAAAACGGGGGACTTCCCAGAGAGCTGAGGCGATGTCTTCCAATAATAGTAGTAGTAAATTAGCATAGATTTAACATTTTAGAAAGACAGCATGGTGAGGTGGAAACAGCGCATCTGTTTCATTCATTTGTTCATTCATTTATTCCGTAAGTATTTACTGAGGGCTCATTAGATGTCAGGCACTATATTTGGGCCAGGTGCAGACTTCACCCTTGATTTGTGGGTGATGACAATGATCTCAATCTTTTGAGGAATTTCCACCAGGCACAGGTGTCCCACTTCGTAGCTCATTAGGCTGAGGCTGCAGAAGATCATTAAAGAACAACAGGTCAGGGAGGGGTGGCTCTTAAAGGGGAAGGGCCCTTGGCTATCATTCTAATCTCAAAGTACATGGAAAAACCGAAGCACAGAGAGGGAAAGGAAAAGCCCAAAGGTAAGTAATGATAATAAAAACCTTTCATAGACAGTATAAAGTCTTCTATATATCTGTGCTTGAGATATG